AATACTTGGTGATCGAGTCTTCTCCCTGCCGAATCTCACTAAGTTTTAGAGTCAATTCGTAGATCTGAGACTAATTTCCCAAATCAGAGTATATCTGATTCACGTTGTCCCAGAGCTCCTTGGCCGTGGAGTAGCACATATCGTTAGAGCTAATATCCTCGTCCATGGAGTTCACAAGCCAACTCATCACCATTGAATTTTCTGCATCCCAGGTTACGTACATTGGGTCCTCCGATGCTGGTGTCTTCTTGTTTCCTGTCTGGTACCCGATCTTTCCCCGCCCTCTGATATACATCCGAATAGACTGGAACCACCGTAAATAATTGTCACCATTAAGGTGAATATTGGTGATCTGAACCGAGTGAGAATCGGAACTGGGGGCTTGGGTTGTTGGATTGGTTGACTGGGTTGTGATAGGCGAGGTTGACATGAAGGAAACGTTAGACATGGCCGATCAGCGAATAAATTATGCAGAAAATAAAATTAGGGGTTTTTTTTTTTTTTTTTTTTTTTTTTTTTTTTTTTTTCTTTGGATCGCTCTGATACCATATAAACTTGAAAGAAAAGAAATATGGAATAAACCTTTTCTCTGTATTAGCACACGATTCACAAGTTTACACGGGTTCTCTTTATAGGAGAGAATACACGCACATAACTAGCTGGCCTAATTAATAATTTCCTAATTTACAGTATTTGACCAATATTCTATTTACAGCAAATATCCTCCAAATATTATATTTATAGCTAATAATATTTGGTAGTATTACTACCAAATCTTTCCTTTTCAACGGTTTCTATACTTTTAACTTCTTATTTGAATGGAGCTCAGCAGGTGATGTCTCTCTCTCTCTCTCTCTCTCTCTCTCTCTTTCTATATATATATATATATATATATATATATATGATTTCTGTGTATTTCTACATGGTACTAACAAGGCCACACTGCTTCAGGAGTGTTCTTCATGTTCACAATTGTTTCCGGTTTAATCGTTGAATTTGTTGCAATACTAGTGCCAGAGACAAAAGGAAGAACATTACAAGAAATACAAGCATCCACGATTGATCTCCTCCAAACTGTTTTGAAAACAAAATAATTGTTATAATGTTTCCATCTTTTTTGTGATTTTTATTATAAACTTACCTGGGGCAATTTTAAGCACCCAAATATTATCTATAAGCTTCATTTAGTAGAGTTAAAGTCCATTTGTTATGACACTTAACATTAATAAATTAAATTACCTTGGAGTTAAAGGCTTAAAGCAACCATTATTTTATATGTCTTAAGCTTTACACATAACACTGGAACATAAAAATATCAGAACATATTGGAACATCAAGAAGAAAAAATGTAACATCTTTTCTTGCTAGGAAGCTGTGGAAAATTTCTATATTAATTAAGAAGCCTCAATAGAATATAATAGCAATGACAAAATTTTAGTTAGACTATTGTACCCATTATGCTTTTTAATTGATAATTAATTTTTTTATAAACCTTACCATATATCTCGTATATTTATTTTTCTGCATAAATTGTTTCAGGAAATTTGTTCTCATTTTCAGAATTGTTTTTATGTTTTGCATATACTTGTTCTGTTGAAGTAATGTTATAATCCGTATATTTTTGTTAACCGCATACTTCTAAATAGTGAACTATCATAAGCGTTCTTTGATTCATCATCATCATCATCATTATTCTTGTCTTAATTCTATGAATAGGGTCAGGTACATGAATTCTTTGTCTCTATTCCTTTCTATTATTCGCTGTATAACCACTTTGTTTAACATTTTTAAGTCATTTCTAATAACTTCATACCACATTATTTTTAGTCTCTCTCCGTATCTTATCTTCTATCAAAATTAAACTTCCTCTTCTCGCCGGTGCATCTATATGTTTCTGGTGTACGTGCTTAAACCATCTAAGTCTACTCTATCTTATTTTCTCGTTAATGGGTGCCATACCTAATTTTTCTCTTACACATTCATTTATGACTCTTATCTTTTTTAGTCACTCCAACAATCTATCTTAACATTCTTATTTCTACAAAATAAAGATATTTTTGTTTCTTTTTTAAAAGCACTACACTTCGCTCCATATAACATAGTTGGCCTAACAATGATTCTATAGAATTTTAACAGTCCTATATAAGCCTTCTTTGGATGGTGATTCAAGATACGAGGATAAATGAAATGTCACCAGTTAGTTGCAGAACTCAAGAATCATTGATACACTCCAGGACAAGTAAAAAAAAAAAAAAAGAGACCCTGCAATAATAGATGTGAATCCAAAGTTAAAAAATAGTCCTTAAAACAGATTTTTAAATTTTTTTTCCCGAAAATTGAAGCAATTTGTACATATGAAATGAATATGTACAGTGTATAAAATGCGCAAGAACAGGACCAAGGAAGCCCAAATGGCAATGTAACAACTCGAACCCAAGGTTCCGAATCGTTAATCGGGTCCTTACCCAAACCCGAGGTCAACTAAAGACGTTACCGTCCTTTCCTTTGTCAATACTTAATATACGTATCATCCCAAGATTTATAAATAAAATAAAATAAATAAATAATAATAATAAAATGAGATCATAGCTACAAAGTATATCAAAACAGTCCACTAATCCATCAAAACCTGTGGAGGAGTGTCGTTAGTCACTTCCTTTTCGTATCCTGAAAAATGTTAAAATAATGGGGTGAGCTAAACGCTCAGTAGGAAGTGTCTAAAACACACTTCTTACGACCCTGTGAATCCACATAAGGAATAAAGTACAACTATATGGGATCCGTCTAGGGGAAAACAAGTAAAACAACGATAATATCAACAAATATATATACGCAAGTCGTCTAACCACCAAATGTACAATGTATGCCAATGAAATGCCTTACCATGCCATGTCGCTCCCCATTTTCGAAACAATACCGTTTCAACTTCCAAACCGTTAGTACAATCCGACCCAAGGCACCTCCAAGGCGTCACGAATGGAGGGTTGACTAACTATCCACGACCACAAGGCACCTCCAAGGCGTCGCATCCGGCCTAGTTAGCTCAATCATACTCCCTTCTAGACTACACTAACAACATGGACCGCTAGGCGCCTCCTAGGCGTCCGGTTTTGACAAACACTTTTCAAAAAAAACTTTTTCCAAAAACAATTTCATTTGTTTTTAAAACAAACTTTTCCCTTTACTTTTCCAATGGTAATGCATGAATTATGCAAATCCTTCAATGCCATGACAATATAGAAATTTCATACATATCATTCACATCATTCAAGCATGTTTAAAACATAATTTTCCACACAATATCACATTCTCATATTTCTAAATCATGACATTTTACATACTTTCAATTTGCAAATCCAACAGCTTAAATACATAAGGCATAAAATAAATTTATTTATTTTCATAACAACAACATCACTTTTCATAACAATTTAAAATCATAGGACATATAATACATCAACACTAAGCATGCTTCTTCACCACAAGAATTTAATCATATTCATAAGTTCACTTAACACATAGCATGCCTTTATCACCTTAAATACCAACAACCACAATAAACATAATCAAGATAATTACAATTAAGCATACTTAGAGTCAAATTAAAGGAAAAATTCACAAAAAATTTAAGAAATTGTAGATTAGAGCACCCATACCTCATAGGATGCAAAACCCCCAATTTTGCTCAATCCAATCCCTAGAATTCGAACTTCCTAGGGTGCCCAAAAGTGTGAATTGTTCCTATCAAAATGAAGATCTCTACAAGCTCTCTAACTTTGTTCAAGGAAGTGCCATCAAATTCCCACAATTGCTAGGCTTAATCAAACCTTAAAATTGAAGAAGAAAAGAAAAAGAAAAAGAAAAAGCAAGGGGAGAGAGAGACTGCCGGGTGAGAGGGGAGAATAAGACTACAAATTGGTCTCTTGTCCACTAATTCAAAGGTGAGTGGGTAGTGGGTCCCACTACTATGCAAAACATCCAACTTTTTTTTTTTTTTTTTTTTTTTTCTAAATTTTGATTCTTGAAGTCGGTCTTTACTGAATTATGAAAATTTTATAATTTCAATGGGGCACTTTTAGAATTATCAAAACTTATATGTAAAAAATATAAATAAATAAAAATTCAGTGGGTCCCAATGTGGCTCCGCAACTGTTGAGAAGACCATGAAAGATTTAAATATTGAAAGGGCAATTTTTCTCTTAAAAAATTATCATTTTTAATTTTTAAATAAATTAAAAAGATACAATTAATGAATTTTTATAATTAATTTTTGAAAGATGAGTCACAGTGGATGGGCAGTACCTGTCCTAGGACTCCTTTTTTGTTATACAAATCAAATAGTCCTACATGATTTAACTTCATTTCACCGAGATGAACAATATGAATTACAATGATTCATGTTGGATAGAGACACGAATTTAAATTTTTTAATTGATCACATGATCTATTTGCATCCAATGAAAGCTCAACGGACATTGGACACCACCATTGTCCTATTCTTCAAGTGTATGTTTGGTATAGTGGAAAAGACAAAGAAAAAATAACATTAGTTAGGGAGAAAAAAAAGAAAAAAACAAAAGGAGAGGATAGTGTTAGTTATGCTTTAGTCTTTCCTTTCAAAGTTCAAACCCCTCCATTCCCTCCCCTTTTCATCCAACATTTTACACCAAATACAACTTTTTATTTTCTTCCATTTCTTTTCTTTTCTTTTCCCCATTGTCATTGTACCAAACTGAGCCTAAGTGATACTAGTTGTATGCACACAAAGCTTTAAATAGAGAACTTTGAAAAAATAAAACATGTAAATGAATATGTTGGGAGAGTACTTTCAATTTTCCAACGTAGCTTTTAGTGTGCCCAATGAATTTTTGGTATTCCAAAGTTATAGTCAATTAATAATCATCTGGATTCATTTTTGAAAAGAATCTTTTATCAATCACAATTTAAGGAGCAGCAATGGGGAGTGTATTCCACGTAGTACTAGAAAAAAAAAAAAAAAAATTGTGAGAGAGAGAAAGAGAGAGAGAGACTGGAAAAAGAAAAGCATGCTTTTGAAAAGTAAAGAACGACTTTAACGAAGAAAGCATGGTTTTGAAAAAGTAAGAACTACTCTAAAGAATCTTTTATCAATCATAATTCTAAGGTGTAGCAATGGGAGTCTTCCATGTATTCACGAATTGGGTGAATTAAATTCAATTGAGAAGCTGCCAAGTCCATCAATGGCGAACAAAGCTTCTTCTTTGTCTTCCGTGTTTTTGTGCTCCCAATCGATTTGGGTCGAAGCCCAAACAACTTGCAATCACCTGGCTTCTTTGTCTTTTGATTTGACTCACATTCCAGCCCTAGACACTCCCTGCAACAGGTCCGTCATCTTCTCACAAACCCTACTTTTTCATTTTTGAATATTCATCTTATGGCTCTGGAAATATTCTAATTTTCCATTAACCTAAATGATACTAATGGGTTTTAACCCTTTCTTCTCTCTCTTTTATTTTTATTTATTATTTTATTATTTTATTTATGAAATTTCCTTGTTGCTGAATTAAAAAAAGAAGATCATAACAAACTAAATTTAGTATTATTATAAATTATTGGCCTGTCACAGTTTATTCCTTTTCTTTTTTCTTTTTCTTTTTTTTTTTCTTTTTTTTTTGTATCTATCTTCTTTTGGAACAAAATTGTCCAAGTTAATTATCTTTTGTTTTCAAAAGTTTTGTTGGGCAAGAAAACAGAAGGGCAATGGTTTTTTTTGGTGACCAATTGTTATAGAATGGCAACACTAGTGTACTGTGTAATTAAGATTAAATTGCCTAATCACCAACATTAGTGATACACTTTTTTTTTTTCCCTCGTTAGTGATACATTTGAGCAGAATATAATCTCCAAGTATAAATACTTTTTTTAATTATTTGTAACGATCTCACCAAATCTATTTTTAACTAAACTGTTCTGAACATTTTTGCTTGATTTTAGCTGATTATGAATTTCTTATTGAATTTTCTTTGTAACTTATAATACTTCCTATGTTTCATGAACTCAGATACAAGTATGTGTCTAGTTTTTAAATTTATCAAATCCCCAAACGTGTATAATATTTTCCTTTTCATATTTTTAGAGTAAAATAATGTTTGCACTCATTTTGAAGCAAATGATAATAAGTTTGAGTTATTTGTGAGTTGTGCAGCGGAAGATAATTGTGTAAAGTTTAAGTTTTTATTGAGGAATGATTTAATCACGTGTCTTTCAATATTAATTAGTTTTACTTAATTTAGCAATTAATCAATTAATCACATACAATATAAAAGTAAAGTAAAGTAAAGCAAATAGAGTTTGAGAGATGACAGCATTTTTAGTGAGGAAACCCCAATTGGTAGAATAGACCAATTGTTGTGGGAAAAACTTTGTGGATTGTGCAGTTCAAAGTAAATCGATACACTATGTTTGAAACAAAGTACAATGAACTTTGACTCAACCTCATACCCCTCGTTTTACCAAAAACCAATTGTTGCCAATCTTCTGGATTTGTGACATCCCGTCCAACAGCTTTTCACTCTAGGCCTATTCTTGATCTCTGTAGAAGGATTATTAGTAGATCAAACAACACTCCTCGAATACTTTAACCCTTTCAAAGTGTGATCGCTTTACCTCTTTTCTTCAAATTCTGAATTTGATAGAAGAAATAGATCTGTTTTCTCTAATCGTTGTACATACAAGATTCAATAGACTTTGAACACGATAATTTTTTAACAATACTCTAAACTCATTCTTGTGTTTTTGTGTCTATCCAAGAAATAAAGACAGAAAAATCAGATTTGATTTTTTGCAAAATATCTCTTAGACAGGCTTTTAAGAAATCAAAAGTTGTATTGCAAAAGTCGTATCAACCTAGATGTAAATCAAAGTTTATATAAAATTTTCAAAGACCTAGCTAGGTATGCATAGGAAAAGGTAAATTTCGTGCATAGGACCTAAGGAATTCTATATCAAATAGAAAGTTTAGACAGAACAGGAAATTAGAATCGTAAACTAGAATCCTTAACCATATCAGCATATGGAACCGGTAGCAAAGGCGGAACCAGTTCCCACAAATAGAATGCAATTCTTAGAAGTTAAGGTTCTGAACCGGTAGCACAGTTTTGGTACCGGTTCCCACATGACAGAACTGAATGAGAAGATTTAAAACTTGGAAAAATTCATGTTTTGATAACTTTGAAAAACATAACAAGTATGTATAATGTCCTAAGTGGGAAACAACTTTCTAAAGCATTGTTCATTCCTTTTTCGTAGATCACAGTATATCAATCTTGAACAACTCTTTAATTCCATAGCCTCGATCTTGATTTGGTAACTTAAAAATTACAACTAGATCGGACTTGTTTTAACACCGAAATTTGCCAATTACAAAAATTATATCTCACATTATTTTATCAAATCCCAAACCTATATAATATCTCTCTCTCTCTCTCTCTCTTTCATTTTTGGAGTAAAATAGTGTTTTCACTCATTCTGAAGCAAATGAACATACTAAACAAGTTCTATGAATAATTTTATAATAGGTTTGAATTATCTAATTAATATGAATATGATTGTTATATTTGTTTGAAATTTCTGAACTTAATTTTTTTATTAGCTCATAGTATTCATAAAAGAAGACTTAAGATATGCAATCCATTTACACACATTGTATATAGAGTCAAATTATTATTATTTTTGTCTAAAAGTTAAAACAAACACACACCCATTATATATGTTATCCCTCCACCGAGGCTCGAACACCCAACCTTCCAATCTTGCTCTTTATATTGAATCAAAATTTCATAGTCTCTTTATATAGACAAATTCAAATCATCAACAAATTTATACTGCCTCGAGGAATGATTCACCCTCTTTATCATTGAAATAGAACATCCAGACGATTAATCTTAAATTTATGAACTTGATTCTCTATGCCCTTGAGAAAGCATTTCCTAACCTATGCTACTACTTTCTAAAGGTGCCTCCACCCCGATGATAATTGGTTATGTTTATGCTGTAAGGCTGTTCTTTACAGCCGTAAAGTGAACAAGCATATGTTGTCTCACTTTCTGCAGAGCAAACATTGTGTGGTACTAGGCTACTGGTATGTATTAAGATATATGTATATTTTAAAAAGAATTCCTTCCATATTCTCTTTCTTCTTTTATTGGACGATATATTTCAGAGTTCTTATTTTTTGTTTGTTTACTTTTGGAATCAGTGATCTGTCAGTTTATTGTTACCCCTGTAATGCATATTTAGATGCTCAAGTGATTTTGCCACTGCGTCCTATTTATGAAAGTGCTTACAGACTGAAATTTGGTGAAGACCTTGATTGGCAGACAGAGGATAAGGAAGTTGAGGTCTCAACTTCAGGCAGTTAAGTTCATCTAATGAAAACTTCAGGCAATCAAGCTATGATCTGATTGTAGAGTGATTAACTCTTTGTGCCTACCTCAATATTTCCATTTGAAGTTTGAGGATGCTATGCTATTTATTCATAACTGCAAAATTGGATGAGGTTAATTTCAGTAAATATGTCCCGACTCCTGCCTCATCAAGATTAATTTTTGTTGACCTGTTGAGTTTAGGCATGCATTTGTTTAGTTAAAACTGTTTTCGAAGAAATTTTTCCATGCGCAGCTCTTGACATGAAATTCATGCCAGAAAAAATGGTCATTTTATTAGTTTTTACAATTTGCCTTTTCTATCTTTTCCCCTCGACTCCTTGTGTTTAGACATTTGTTTTTTTAATTGAAACTATGGTTTACAGAAAAAATATCAGTGAGTAGTGGTTCTCATTATAAGCATTCATTTCATCGCCATCCAGAATTGTCCGTCTTTCTACAATTGTCTATATTGATGGTCTCCAGGTGAGAGAAATCTTTCCATAAACAAAGCACGGTTCATTCTAATTGTTAGAAGAAAAATGGGTAATGTTCTGTTAAATAACAGACTGGTAAAATGTTTAAGGCTTATCTCTTTGACTTCCCATGAGGTTAGGAGTGTGTTCAATGAGCCCCCTGCTGTTATTTGTTTCTATTTCTGAAATTTTAGCAAATGACTTGGTTGGCCTTGTCTTATGTTAAAAGACTTAATAACCTTCTCGTTTGACATGAAATGACGGAAATACTTAGGATAATTACACTTACCTCCCCTGTAGGTTGTCTAAATAACAAGAACCTCTCTCTAGTTTCAAATATAATACTGATCTCCCCTCTAGTTCAGGTTTAAGTAACACTGACCTCTTTTAAAACTCGATAATGTACTTAGGAAACCAGAAAAGGCTATTTTGTCTATAAAGAAACATATATTTTGCATTAAAAGACAATAAAACTACAATGGGTATAATACTCTAACACCTTCAGGTAAAAGTCAACACTGACAGGAGAGGTTAGTGTTATACTTGAAACCATATGGGAGGTCCCAGGTCCCTATTATTTAGCAGGGGAGGTAAGTGTTTCAATTTTATACCATGCAACACAACCTCTCACGTTTGTCCTCATAACATAATCTAACACCCAAATATTCTCCTCTATAGGACCTTATGTACTCTTCATTCAATGTAATATTGAAACACTTGCCTCATAACATAATCTAACACTCATAATTAAAATTATCTAAATGCGTTTTACCAGAACACTATCATACTAATACGTTTTTTTTGTACCTCGACTTCAAACATATCTTATTTGGACCCGATATTTCATTTAAGAGTAAACTTGGCTTCTGTGGTAAGCTCCGCGCATATTAACATTCATGAAACCCTTGCACCAAATCAAACATCCTTTTTAACATGTTAGTAACTTAGTATATGTCAATAATTGATTGATTGTCTTTCTTTTAGTCACATAAAATCACCTTTTCGTCAACGGCTTTATATATTTATTTGTGTTCGGCTTGCGAAAAAGTGCTAGTTCCGCTTTCCAGGTGAATGGAAAGTAGGAGTGGATGTCGGGTGTGCCAGGAACTGCTGTCGTTCCAGAGTAGATATCCGAACAACTATCCAGTAGGAAATTGTAGAGATTAGGCGATTGAATGACGGACTGGAATTACCACCTTCAAGGGTTCTTTTTGCCTTGAAAAAGGACTTTTGGACTAAACTATGGCTAGTGGAAAGGAAAGTTGTATTGAAAGTGCAGGACTTCAAAGTAAAGTGCTGGAAAGTAGGAATAATAAGTGTATGACTTGAATTAAACATATTGAAAGTGCATTACATGAATGTAAAGAAATTGAAGTGCTGTTGGTTGTGTGTGTTGAACAGGGTTTGCAAACTAGCTCTAAGTGCTCAATTTATAGGACTTGATAAGCGCCGAATATTGTATATTCAAGCGCCCTAAATTACATTAACAAAGTCCAGTTATTAATTATTTTATGTAGATTAACTCCATTTGCATGTTTTTATGCATTTTCAGGTTGAAGTGCAAAAAGGAAGCCAAAAAAATGAGGCCTTGTGGAATTTTGAACAAAAAGGATGCCATTTCTGATTTTCTGGCAGCGGTGATCCTGACTTTTGTCGCCATTTTTCGACCTAGCAAACTCAAGAACTCGACTTCCATCATAACATGAAAGATTTAGATCTCTGAATCAGCTTTCCAAATCTTCAAGTGGTTCATCATTCGGAGTTTAGAGCAGAGAGTTATGATCTTCACAACAGAGGTGCGCAGAACTGCCTAGCAGCACTGATGTACTGCCTTTCTCCCCATTTTCGACCAACCAGACTTGAGAATTGGGTCTTCATCAAAACATGAAGTTTTTAAAGTACTGAATCAGCTCTCCAAATCTTCAAACAGATCGTCATTCGGAGTTCGGGGCACAAAGTTATAGCAGTTTTCCCAAAATAGGTCAGCGCTGAGCAAGAGGAGCATGTTGCACATTGCACTAAGTTAGAGTGCTCGAGATCACCAAGCGTGTGCTCGAAAATCAGGCAGAATGCCCTTCGGAAATGGCTCATTTCAGCCCACTTGCACATTGGTTTCCTCAATGCCATCTTCCTTCTTTATGAAGTGGTTGGAGGTGTTCCTTGGAGGAGAGAGGGTATTGTTGGAGCATAAAAGGCTACCCAAAGGCCACATATATCATTAAGCTTCATCTTTAGCAAGATAGAGGAGAGAGAGCAAGGAGAAGGGTGTTCTTGAGTGCTACAGTAGGAGCTCGAAAATGGAGATGAGGATGATGCTTCTTCCTTCTTCTAGCTCACCAATGGGCAACTAAACCTCATCTAGGGAGGTGATGAAACCCCTCCCTTGTAAGCATGTGTTAGTATAGTTTATTTTTGGGGATTACAATGTATTTTTGATAGTCTTTCCATGATCAAGAGCCTCATTTTTGTTGTAATGAATGTTGAATGTTTTAAATGATTATTGTGAGTTATTCATCTTGTCTTGGATGGTTGCTTTTCTTAATCATATTGCTTGCACTTCCATGGTGACAATGGAAGTTAGATCATGGAATGGTTTTAATGGCATGGAGTTGGAGAACCTAGATAGTTCATGGCTTAGGGTTTCCCTTTGATGGGCTATACTTGATTCTTAGCTTTATGTGCATTCACCATTTAAATTAAGGCTTGATAATCCTTGGCTTAGTAAGCATGTTCTAAGCTACATTTTAGTTTAGGTAGTTGATCATGTGAACCTTTGATGGTTTTTTCTTACCTTTCTATTTAAATGAACTTCTTAAGGATATTATAGCAACCTAGTATTGTTATGTATCATGACTATCATATATGTTGTTTTCCCCTTAAATTAATCTTAACCTAGCATGTGTATAGGGATGGAGGTGGATTCATTTCCCTAGCCTTCTTTACTTGTACTTCACTCCCTTGAATTCTTGCAAATTATTGTTTTATGCACTTTTAATTTCCTAGCTTAAGTGACATCCAACAAAACCTCTATAAACCCTTCATCATTCTAAGAATGATTCTAGACATTTAGGTTGTATTAGACTAGCGCAGTCCCTGTGGTTCGACTTACCCGACCAAAAGCCCTATTTTACAATGATTCGTGCTATTGCGAAGGTTGATGTTAATTGACCAACCGATCAGGACTTTCCATGCATGCAGCAGCAGCTTAAGGTGGCAGCTTCAGCAGCTTCCATGTGGACTGACTTCAAACTGCCATGTGTCCCATGATTCCTCAACAGTTGTAACTTCTTCCATCTTATCCATCTTCTGTTGTAGACTTCGACCACGTTTTCTTTTGCCTTCAACAAATTTGTGTCGTGGGTAGTTTCAAAGTGAATTCCTGCATGTCTTCTTTGTCAATTAGCAAGTGTCCCACATCTTTGCTCTTCTTCATCATGTCGTCAACCGCTTCCCTTTCTTTCAGAAACGATTTCACCAGCGGTTGCCTTGTTATCCATGACCCTTAAAAACTTCCTTCGGTTAGAGGTAGTTCCCTCATGAAGTTCCACCACTTTCAACTGACGTATTCTTGTTTGGCCAAGTGTCCCACGACTTCTAGTAGTTTTTCCCTTCTGTTAGAACCTTCCTTTCATGGCATCGTGGCTTCTAACTTTTAGTAACCTTCTCATCGTGAGATACCCCTCGAATCCGAGACACGGGTTGATCAGGCCCAGGCCCAAACCCGAGGGAATATCAAACAATTAATATTTTATAATGAACACGGAATACAAAATAAATTAAGAAATGAAATTAAAGCTGGAAGGAACTAAAAATAGAATCCGCAAAATATTATAATTATTAAAATCCATCAAACCCAAACTCCAAAACTCCATCAGTTTACAACTTGGGAATCCATCTCTAGTGGACCCCTATTAAACATCCAAACGGAAGATAGAACAAATGTAATAAACGTCCAGAAATAAAACTATAGAGAGAGCCCTACATCGTCGGAAGAGTGAACACGTCTAAGCCTGGAACTGTCGTGTACCTGAAAAATAGAAGTGGGTCAGGCCCACGCACAAGTTCTATACTACTACAATCCAAACAGAGGCCCGATACGCATGTACATCCTAAACAATTCAACAATAGCTAATATTCCGTAAATATATATATCGTCACACTAAAGGACTCTCACTGGACTACAGGCCGGTCTCAACCTGAATAGAGGTAACATGCTAAAACGCACACGAAGTGGGCATATGTACCTATACCTAAACAGGGTACACCTCCAACCATCGTAGCCAGCTACACATCCCGATGCATATACGCTCCCTAGCCATCAGTCCTGAGGCTCAAGCTCATACCGCGGCACCATAACAGTACATATATAAAATCCATCCAAAATCCCTGGTATTGCCGCTCAACAAGTAGTTGCCATGACAATACAAATCCACGGGACTTAACTTTTAGTTAATCCCATTCTTATTCCAAGTAGGTGGGTAATGGTATTGATTTAAAAACCAAACCCATCCTTAGTATGCCACCGTCCCATACCGGTACCTACTTTCCAATCCTCCAGTAGTCAATAATATCAATAAATCAAATATATATCAACTAAATTCCAACATCCAACATTCAATGTTAGCAATGATAAAATAAGCATTGATAAACAGGGTCACAACAACAACATATACATGCCCAATTTAAGTTGTTCCCTTTAGTCTGATATAAAGACAGAATTAATTAAAACTTTCATTTAACACCTTACAAATGACATACAAATATGTAGGGTATGTATCACAAAATCCTAACCTCCACAGTTGATACTAACTGTGATAATGTAAGCATCAAAACAATATTCACAGTATGTATGTAGACATGCTCAAATTATAGTGTTCCACAAAACCGATCTAGTGTTAAACTCAAATCCTCCTAGTATTTAAGTTCCAACAGTTGCTATTACAGAAGTTAAGATAGCTATCATCTAGACCCATCCTTCCAATAATTTATACTAGTAGTGGTAAGGAAAAACGTGAACCACAGAACCACAATGCATCCACAAACATGCTTAGTCTAGGTTGAAGAAGCATACAACACTACTGTAACTACTAGTTTCATAGCAAAACAGATATCATTTTAGTTTGGTTTAATCTTCATTAATCCTGGAATCATTTAAGAGTGCAAAGAGTATGAAGCCTAAGGGAAAGAGTAAGGATAGAATCTTGCCTCAGAAACTTTTGTTCAAAGTTTCAACGTCGTCTTCTTAAAAAATCCCGGCGAGTTCCAAAACCCGGTTACTGTTTATGGGTACGAAACACTATTCCTGAACTCAAAATCTGATCTCCACCGTTTAGATTGTGCGACACTGATTCATGAACCTATCCTCCAAATTTCAGCTCGATCGGACCACGGACGAAGCGGGATCGGATTTTGATGAAATCTAGACAGAATGGAAAAAAAACCTGTGCAACCCAGTTACTGTTCACTAGTACGAATCACTGTTCTCGAGGTCAAACTCTAATCTCCACCGTTCAGATTGTGCGTCACTGAGTCATGAACCTCTCCTCAAAAATTCAGCTCGATCGGACCATGGACGAAGTAGGATCGGATGTTTGATGAAATCTGGGCAGAATGGGAAAAAACCTGTGCGACCCAGTTACTGTTCATGAGTACGAATCACTGTTCCCGAGGTCAAACTCTGATCTGCATCGTTCAGATTGTGCGTCACTGAGTCGTGAACCTCTCTTCCAAAATTCAGCTCGATCGAACCACGGACGAAGCGGGATCGAAGCTTTGATCAAACCTTGGCAGAATGTGAAAAACTGCGTTTTTCCTTCTTCACTTCCACAAAACGTGTGCTTTGTTTAAAAAAAAACCCTACACAGACGTCTACCTTATACTTATAGAGTTTTCCTAAACCCTAGGTTCATTTAAGTCCAACTCACAATCCTAACCGGCCCATCCAATTAACGTAGAAACCTACGACGGCTATAATATAAAACCCTAATTTATACTGTAATTAAAACCCTAGTTAGATGTATTTACCTAATTACCCTATTCACCATTAAATACTTAACAAATAATCTAATTGAACAAAATAATAATTAGTAAACCCAATTAAACCAAATAAGACACACATAAAATAAGACACACATAGAATAATTAAACCAATTACACTTAAACCATTAATGCCAATTAAATAATTAAAACACTAACAAGTAATTCCAATCAAATAACTAAAAATAAATATCATTTAAATAAATTAAATCACCACAAAAGAAAACAATTAAGCACCGAATAAAAAAATAATGACACATAATCAAATAAAATGCACTTAAATAATAAATTAAATACCATTAAATACCAGGAATATCCTTTTTAAAATTAGGGGTATTACATTCTTCCCCCCTAACAAAAGGAATTCCGTACTCGGAATTCACTCTTACCTTCTTCCAATATTTCAAGAAACCGTGAGCGAATGACATCCTCTCGTTCCCAAGTGGACTCAGACTCATTGTGATGACTCCACTGACACGAACCAAAGGAATAACCTTATTACGAAGAATCTGATCTCGTCGGTCGACAATACGACACGGTGACTCTAAATAAGTTGCATCCGGCTGCAACGCAATCTCCCCAACATCGATATGCTGATACCGATCCTCATCTCGAAGAAATTTTCACAACATGGAAACATAAAACACGTTGTGGACGCGATCCAAAGTATCCGGAAGTGCCAACCGATAAGCAATAGCTCCAATTCAATCCATAATCATGAATAGACCAACAAATCGCGATGACAACTTCCCTTTCTTCCCAAAGCGCATAACACCCTTTATAGGAGACACTTTGAGTAGAACCTGATCCCCAACCTGAAACTCCAAAGCCCGAGTACGACGATCAGCATAGCTCTTCTGCCTACTTTGGGCAGTACGCATGCGATCTCGAATAAGAGCAATCTTTTCAGAGGTATCCTTGATGAACTGAGGACCTAAGAATCGATTCTCTCCAACCTCCATCCAACAAACAGGTGACCGACACGGTCGACCGTACAATGCCTCAAATGGTGCCATATCAATAGTCTTCTGGAAATTATTGTTATAAGCAAACTCCACAAGTGGCAAATATTCCTCCCAGTGGCCCTTGAAATCCAGAACACACGACCGAAGCATATCTTCCACAATCTGATTCACCCTCTCAGTCTGTCCGTCAGTCTGAGGATGATAAGCAGTACTAAGGTGTAACTCCGTACCTAAAGCCTGCTGAAAACTCTTCCAAAATCCAGATACAAAGCTCGAATCCCTGTCCGATATAATAGACAATGGAATGCCATGTAGCTTCACAATCTCTGAAATGTAAAGCCTCGCCAACTGCTCCGAAGTGTAGTCAGTGCAAATAGGCAAGAAATGAGCTGACTTGGTCAACCTATCCACAATGACCCATATGGAATTATGCCCCTTGAAAGAATTTGGCAACCCTTCCACAAAATCCATAGATATGCTCTCCCATTTCCACTCCGAAATTG